GAATGCCAAGCATTATATATCCTCATTCTAAATTTAAAGTTGCTTTATTGCTCTTTATTTTATGTATTCGATACATTCTTTGTCTTTTATTCGCTGAAAAAGAACAATAACATATACGAATCCAATAAATACATTTGTCACAAATAGGTAGTTACTAGTTAGTACTTTATAAATTTTAATAATATTTAACCATTTATTTGAAATTTTCTTTTTACATTTTTTTTATTACTATTTCTTATGTATTTATTTAAATTGTCGTTTCAATAAAAATATTTTACACATATTTAATAAAAAATATCTTTTAAAATAATAATATTTTTACGATTCCAATAAACACATTTTTCCTAAATAGTTATTAAATTTTAAGGATATTGTAAAAAAAAATTTCAATCAATAAATTACAGCTAGTAAAATTCTAATAACTAATTAACACACAGTCTATTTCCAGTCAACCAGTGACCAGTTAAAATTAAACTATTTTGTGAATTATCTTTTTTGTCATTTAGATTTAAAAATCTCCCAAAATTATTAGTTTTAGGTATAGAGAATGCTTAACTCAAATTAAACTTTAAGAAACGTTCTTTTAAATGGTGATATAAAATACAATTAAAGAAAATGGGAAAATTATGTATTTCCGTACTGATGTACCCTATAAAGATTTGTTTAAAATTAAAAAAGTAGTACATCGGTAAACATTTTTGAATAATAATGAAAACCATTTACTCCAAAAAAATGGTTTTCAAATGTTTCTTTTGCACTATAAACGTCTTTAAAATCAGTACGGAAAACTTTGATATTGTATTACTTTTTTAGAGAACCTTGTATAATTGGAAAGTATATGTTGCTTCTTTGATTTTTTGAAAAACTATTTAAATTCATGATAAAGTTTTAATCTCAAATTTAACATGCTTTTTAATAGAATGAAATAAAAAAAAACATTTTTTAAATAACACACGAGAATAAAGTTTGGCCTTATGAACAGTTTTCAATATTATAATAATTATTGCCAGAAATAATCCATTGGTAAATTTCTATACGCGAATGAATTTAAAGGGCGAAGAGACCAATTTGTTTTTAGATCATTCGATATGCCTAAAATGTTTTTAAAAAGAGATTCTAATTCTTTGAACCGCTCTCAAATAGGTAATAATAAATCATTTCGTTGTAAAGGATTCCATTGTAAAGGTTTTCATTGTAAATAATAAGCTCTGAAATCAAGTGTTGAGCCAGTCAAGCATATGTTACTTATTTAGCATTGTATTTAAAAATTTAACCAACTATTAAAACTTTAGAAAAGAATTTTTTTGTAACATTATAAAAAATGTTAAGTTTAATAAATAAAAATGTCTATTTTATGTGACACATGCACTGCATAGGTTTTGGAATGGCTAATATCCGAGTTATTTGATCATAAAATAAAAAGGAAACAATTCTCTTGCAAAATCCAAAGTTTGAATGTTGTCTAATATTTCTCTAATTTTTACAGTAATTTTGACTATTAAAGCTAAAAGTAGAGCAAATATATTACTGAAATGAGGATCAAAATCATAATTACAAATATTTAAAAATAAATGTAGGGATAGTTTGAGAAGTGGTTGGTTTAAATACAAGCTGTAAGACAATTTTTACCCTATGTACATCATATTTTTTATTTTACTTTATGAAGTACCTACCTTAAATATTAATTATAAATGTTATACTGCGTTAGTGACAAACAGTTGGTCAAATAAAAAATAATCAAATTTCTTTATTCTACTACAACGCGTGTTGATTTTCAAGAAAAAAAATTCTTAAGTTTTATTTGTTTCCTATCTGTGTATATACAGATAAGGAAAGTATAGTAATCATGATTTTTTTCGACCTCAAGTTTTTGACGGATTTTTACGTTTCGGGGGCTCTTGAATCCGTTTTAAACTTAAGCTTTAATCCACCCTTCGGTGAACTGATTATATTTTGGGCCTGGTCGGAACATCTGGGGGTACTGTATGGGGGATCTTTTTATACTTTATGGAATACATCTGTTATTTTTGCTTAGAGAAGAAACTTCTTTAAATAAAAGTTTTTCTCTAGAATTTTCTCTAGAACTTTTGTTCCATATATAATTTTCTTAAAATGGAGCGTATTCGAGATATTTGAGGAAAAGTGAAAATTTAGAATTTTGAACATTTTGAACTCAAAAACGGATTAAAAAAAAGCAACAAATTATAAATTTAAGCTTCAATCTACCATGCAGTAAGCTGCTTAGATTTTGGGCATAGTTGGAACATCAGGGGGTTACTTTATGAGAGAGTAATTTTCTACTTTATTGAATATATCTGTTATTTACGCTTGGAGAAAAACTTCCTTGATTCAAATTTTTTAGCAAAATTCTTTTTTCTTCTATACATAATTTTCGTAAAATGATCCGTATTTGAGAAATTTGAGGATAAGTGAAAATTTTGAATTTTGAACATAACTCAAAAGCGGATTAAGAGAAAAACACTAAATTTTATACAAGCTTTAATCTATTATGTGGTAACCTGATTAGATTTTGGGCATAGTCAGAACATCTGGGGCTACTTTATACAAGGGCATTTTTCTACTCTATTGAATGTATCTGTTATTTATACTTGGAGAAGAAACTTCCTTAAATAAAAGTTGTTTGCAAAATTATTCTCTATATGTTTTCTTTTATACATAACTTTCCTAAAATTGTCCGTATTTAAGAAATTTGAGGATAAAAGACAATTTTAAATTTTAATTAAACATAACTCTTCGCTTCGGCTATGAAACACCAGCCACGGCATAAAATCTTGTGCTTTTATGTATAATTAAACAACTATTTTTTCCAAGTTTTAATAGAAAATAGTAACATTATAAAACTAAAAATCCATTAATATTACATGTTTAACCCAAATTTATATTCACTCCAATTTAAGTTTAAAGTAAAATTTTAGAAAAAAAAATACCCTGTTACAGTTTTCTTTGATTGATTTTGTTTACTAAGGAGAACGTCATTTTTGGACTGTTTTTTGTCTTTTTAGGAGTCATAAGAAATACACAAGTTCTATATAGAACATTTTTTGCACTCTTTTGGTTTTGAAAATGTACAGATTCTCGAAAATAAATCAAATAAAACAAAAGAACTATCCCTGAAATGATACATATTAAAAAAATATTAAAACAGACATAAAATATTTATCTAACGTTTATTTTAATTCTAACTAATTGTATGCTTTTTAATTTTATTCTATATTTTAACGCCACTGATATTTTTTAAATTTGTAAACACTCATGTTTTTGTTTTCCTACTGTATATATCTTGTTAAATCAAATTATATTATTTCGAATACACCTCCACACGCTATAAAACAAAAGATGGGGCTTTAACTGTTTTAAAAAATTACATGTGTTTTAGTTCCTTATGTTTTTAAAAATAATTTACTGAACCAGAAGATAAAGAATATGTTATCCAAAATATATCTGTCGCCTATAAAATAAAAAATTAAATAAAAATTTATGACCAAATAAACCAAGGCACTTTATTTATTTAAAGTAAAAGAAATACGAGCAATACCCAAATATCTATTTTTGGGTCTTTATTCAAAGTACAACTAAACGTCCGTAAAATAAACACATGTGGTTTTAAGGTCTAAAAGGGGCTGAATTTTACACAAACTAGAAACATTTCATGCAATTTCAAACGGAGCAGTGTTGTCAAACTTACAGAGTTCACGAAAGACGCTATTAGTATTTTTAAATTCTTCTCAGTATACATGGTGTATATTGGGCGGATGCCATCAAGGGTCATATCTATACGGATGCCACGGACGACTACAATTCAATATATATATATATATATATATATATATATATATATATATATATATATATATATATATATATATATATATATATATATATATATATATATATATATATATATATATATATATATATATATATATATATATATATATATATATATATATATATATATATATATATATATATATATATATATATATATATATATATATATATATATATATATATATATATATATATATATATATATATATATATATAAGGCTTGAAGCAGACCGTTAAGGTCTATGGCCTGGTTAGTTTCTTCCATTCGTCCCTATTCTTGGCTTTTTGTTTCCAGTTGATGATCTTTTTTTCCTAAATATTTTCTATAATCGCTTCCCTCCATTTTCTTCTAGGCCTTCCTCTCTTTTTTTTTCCTTCTGGTGTTGTCCAAGCTACTCTTTTTACTGTCCTTGAGTCCTCCATCCTTTCTAAGTGCCCCAACCATTGTAACCTTTTTGACTGAATTATTTCGTATATATTGGGTTCGTTAAATATTTCGTAAATTTCTTTGTTTGTTCGTCTTTCCCATCCTCCTTCTGTCTTTTTGCCTCCATATATTCTTCTTAGTATCTTCCGTTCCCATATTTCAATTTTGTTTTGTTCTTTCTTATTTAGTGTCCATGTCTCACTAACTATTTATTATTAATGTTTAAAAACGGTTTATTCAGAATATATTTCCTAAAAGTAATGTGTGTGCGTGAGAGAGATAATGCCATTAGAGTAAGTCTGTTTGCCACAGAATGAGATCCTAAATGTAATAAAATTGCTATTTGGCAGGTAATAAATGATGAGTAATAAATGGGAATTCACAACATGGTACCAAAATTATTGAGGACAAAACACAAATTAACATTTAAATTACCAGTTTTAAATTTCCTGTAAAGAATATGCTATTATCAGATATAAGAGATTGTCTTTAAAATATACAGGGTTGGGCAAAATTGGCGGAACACCCGATTTATGGCTCAATTATGAATTGTATTGAAAATTGACCCGAATAATTTTTTTCTATATTTTATGCACTATTTAATGACGCTTGGGATTTTGGTCATCTGTCATATTTATCAAGAATGTAGTGTGGCATCTTAGTAATCTTTGCTTCGGTTTGCAAACTATAATCTCGACCTGAATGCATTTTTTTTTTTCAGAATTGGTTTGGACTAGTTAAAACAGACGACAACAAAATCTACAGAATACAAAGCCCTACTAGAAAATTAATGCCAAATACGCCAGTCAAAGTACGGTTTTATGTCAAATATGACACAAACGAACCACCTCCTCGATTGGTTGAGTGGCGCCTTAACGCCAAAACAGTTTGCCCGGATGGGGTAGTGACAGAATCGTATAACACGGAAATGTACTTTACTAGTCCCGAATTAGTTTTAACTACGCTAAGGCCTTCTCACCCTCCGCCTCAACCCCAACCTCAACTAGAATTGGAAAACGGAAATACCATGAATATTGGCGACTAGTAAGTAAAAAGCAAACTAAAATATGGCTAAATACGGAATCAACTTATACAATTTGTTTGTGTCAATCATAATATACAGGATGTCCCATTATTTTTTAGTTTTATTTTAGTTATAATGTGCTGGTAATACTGTATTCAACCCTAGAATATCTTTGAAAAATATTGCTAAGCAATTAATATTTTTGTAAAATTATTATACCGAATTAAATTTATGTAGGTTAGCAAGGATTTCAAAATCGTTTAAAATAAACACTTATAAGATACCAACCTAATGAATAGTGATTATAGAACTAGTTTACTTTATACAGAGTGTTTTGAAACATGTTATAAATATGGCTTATTTTAAATTCATTTTAATATTTTTTCAAATGTGACACCCAGTATATTATTAATTTTAGCTTTAAATTTGTTATTAATTTACTTATTCAACGATATCAACATTTCATCCAAATATGTACAGTGATCAGTGCGTAATTGTTCTATGGCTGTTTTATTAATGGAGATACAAAGAAATTTTATAATACAAAAGTTGTACGACCATATTTTCCAAATATTTTTAAATATACAGGGTAGTCCATAAATGAGTGGCGAACCAAACAATATTTTTTAAAACAAACACCCTGCAGGTAGTTGTTTTCACATCGTTAAACTATTTTAGTAGGCTTAACATTCCTAAAATGTTTGCATTTTCATTTATTTTACGCTACGATATTTTAAATTTTTTCAAAGGCACCAATTTAAAAATTAATTTCTTAAATTTTTAATATTGCAATACCCTGTGTGTTATACCAACAATTTATAAATAATTTCTTTATTATACTCTTCACACAGTAAGTAGTCTGTGAAGAGTATTATGCATTCGCTTCGTCCGTCCATCTGTCCGTCCATCTGTCCGTCCATCTGTCCGTCCATCTGTCCGTCCATCTGTCCGTTCGTCTGATGTCACGTTTTTTCCGCACGATAAGTTAAAAATGGAAAACGATATCAATTTGATAATTTCAGGAAAAATTAAGCTCTATAAGGGGACGAAGCCTATTGATTTTCAACAAAATCTAAATAAAAATGGGGGGTTAAGAGGGGTTGAAATATTTAAAAAAAATTCTAACTCAAAAACAAAAAATGATATAAATAAAAAAAATCATAAATCAAAAACGAAAAGCAATATCAACATGAAATGTTTAGTAAAAATCAAGCTCTATGAGGAAGATTTTTAAAAAGTCTTATTAAAAATGTGAGGATTAACGGGGTTGAAATTAAAAAAAAAAACATTCATGAATTAAAAACGAAAAGCGATATTAGCATGAAATGTTTAGTAAAAATCAAGCCCTATAAAGGACAAAGAGTATTTATTCTGAAAAAATCGACATTAAAATGGGGGGTTGAGGGGGTTGACATATTGAAAAAATCCTAACTCACAAATAAAATATCGGTAAAGTATTTTACCCAGAAATTCCCTCGATGTAGAAATTGTAAAAGCAGGGAACTCCTAAGCACTTAAATTTTAATAATTTAAAATTAAAATCACCAAATCAAAAACCCTTTTTCACATTTCTCTCTCCATCGATCTTCCTCTTGATCCCACCCGAATTCTCACTTCGCGTCCACTCGGTATTCTTCGTCACGATCACCGCTATTGAACAATAATGATTGGCTGCTTTTAAAATGGTCAAGTTACACAAACCAAAAGGACGATTTTTGTTATTTCCATTCAAGTGGGACATTTTTTAATTAAATACGATTCCATTCTCAGATACCAATTTTAGTAGAAATCTGAAGACTTCTAAAAATAATTTTTATTTTAAAAACTGCTCAATCTGTATACAACTGATCGGAAGTATAACTGGGTTTGAACCAGAAAGGAACCTTATCTGCATATAACATTTAAAGTTTTTCTATGAAGCCATTCTTGAGATATCGCGCCAACAGACAAACAGACAGACAGAATGGGGAAACATGTTTTTCGTAATCTAGAGATCCTGAAACGTGAAAATCTGAAATAATCTCGGAAGGTGACTTTTCACGATTACAATTAAATACTTTCCTTTTATAGAGGGAAGAAAAAACGATATCAAAATGAAAAATTCAGGAAAAATTATTCTTTATAAGGGGATGTATCATCCAATTGATTTTGAAAAATCTGAATAAAAATAAGGGGTTAAGGGGGGGTTGAAATAATTTAAAATTCTTAACTCAAAAACAAAAAATGATATATTTTTGAAATTTTTAGCAAAAAACCATGCTCTATAAGAGGACAAAGTCTATTGATTCGTAAATCAAAAACGAAAAGCAATATCAAAATGAAATGTTTAGTAAAAATCAAGCTTTATTAGAAGATGAAGCCTATTGATTCTGAAAAATCTGAATTCATAAATGGAAAACGATCAACTTGAAATTTTTATCAAAAATCAAACTCTATAAGGGGATAAAGTTTATTGATTTAAAAAAAAATTGTGAACAAAATGGGTTTTAAGGGGAGTCGAAATAAAAAAAATAGAAATGTAACACTAAAAGCGATACCAACATGAAATTTTTAGTAAAAAATCAAGCTCTATAAGGGAATGAAGCATATTGATTCTAAAAAAATCTAAATAAAAATGGGGAGACAAGGGGTTGAAATATTGAAAAAAATCCTAACTCAGTAATGAAAAATTATATTAACTTGAACTTTTTAGCAGGAAACATGCTATATAAAAAGAAAAAGCCCTCTGCTTAAAAATGGGGGGTTTAAAGGGGGATTAAAATTTAAAAATCTTAAATCAAAAATAAAAAGCGAAATCAACATGAAATGTTTATTAAAAATCAAGCTCTACAAGGGAATGAAGCTTATTGATTTTTAAAAATTCTGAATCAAAATTGAGGAATAAGGGGGGTTAAAAAGTGCTAACTTAGAAATAAAAAAAGGAGATCAAAATTGAAATATTCAGGAAAAAGGGATGAAGTGTATTGATTCTGAAAAAAATTTGATTGATGATGGGGGTTAAGGGGGGTCTGTTAAACTATGAAGAGTATAATATAGAATACCAAGCATTATACAGGGTGTTCGATAAATATGGTACATAACTTGAGGAGCGTATTTTGGAGCTAAAGGTATTTTTGTCATGTACACTATGTTTCAAAAATGCTTCGTTACGGAAATACAGGATGTGAAAGTTTCATAAAAAAAAAATACAATTTTTAAATATTTCCAAAACCACTTGAGATATTTTAATTAAATTTTTGGCGACTAGTAAAATGTCAAACAAGTACCTGGGAAAAATTGAAGATCACTTTTTTGTTGTACATTGTTCAAAGAGATTATAAATAATAAAAAAGAATGAAAAAATTTACTGTCTTTGTTGCTTTTTGTTCCAAATCGAACATTAAAAACAGAACAGTGGCGTAACACGTTTTTCCTTATATATTTTTCAGCGATTAATTTGATTAAAATATTTTTTTTATGAAACATTTACACCCTGTATTTCCGTAACGAAGCATTTTTGAGACATAGTGTATATGACAAAACACCTTTATTTTAGCTCCAGAATACGCTCCTGAAGTTATGTACCGTACTTATCGAACACCCTGTATATATTCCTTCTAGTTTTTTATTTTTTTTTGGAATTCGCTATACCCAAACGTATTTCTTCTCAAGAATTTCAGAGTTTTATGAAAATTTCATATTTGTTGACATTTTTTTAAATATTGTTTTTTTAAGAGCAAACCGAACACCTTGAATTTATAATTCTTTCTGAGCCTTTATTTTTACTTCGACTATTGTAAAATTTTCAGGAAATACCAATAATAACAAACCTTATGGTGTAGAAACTAGAATTTTTTATAACCTTATTTTCTTCTTCACATTTCATCTTTTTGTTCGTTGATTATTAATTCCCTTTTCGTTATTTAATATTTTCTCTAAATTCCCCTTAATTCTTTTTTCACACCAATACCATTTTTGCCCTTAGTATTGTCACAGTTTATAGCTAAGTTCGCTCACTCTGCGTCGGCACTTTTGATCTCAATGTTCCAGTTTATATACTGCGCAACTGGGATTTGTATCCCTGGCGCATACAGAATCAAATCATAACCAATCAAATATATGACAACCGCCTATATTCAAACAGCAGTCATCTGCGCATCCTGAATTTGTATCCCTGGAGTGGATATTATTTTGGAACATTCAACTGGTCCAAGTGAGCTGATTCTTTAGCAATACACTGTGGTATTGTCAAATATCGAATTTCAAAATTTCTTAGATCTGTCATTTTACTGTTACACAGATGCACCAACTCTTTTTTCCCCCTAAAATTAATATTTCCTTAGGTTAGTAATTTGTTGATAGGTTTACATATATAAAAATTATTTTAAATTAAAACTAATAATTTTTTGTCAAATTTACGTCTTATGTCCTCAAATTTTTCATTTTTTCAGTTTTATGTAATTTTTCAGTTATTATTAAAAAAACTTTTTTGGATTTAAACCTAGTAGTTAGTTCCGTTATTTGTACATTAAACAAATTTTTGAAATCATTCTAACTTTAAAAATTAAAATTGTTTCTTTTATCATGTATTTTTTTTTAATATTTTAATTATTTTTAACCCGTGACAAGTACCAGTGTATTTAAAAATTAAATTTTCATTTAGTTTCGCTTCGTTTCCTTTAAAAAGATTGTAATTCCGTAGTTTTATCCCTAGTGGTGAGTTTTGTGCTTTTTTTCCTATATTATATTGTTTAGTCATTTCTACGTTATTACCATTTTTTATGGTGATTACTAACAACATTTTTTTCAATATTCGTTAGCAATTTTTTCATATTTTGTTAGTATGAATAAATAAATATTAGTGGTATTAGTGGATTAGTTTTATTAATGTCTCTTAAATTAAATCATTGTTCCATCGTTTTCATCTTGCTAACAATGTAATAAAATTCACAATTCTCCTTTTTTCTCTTACTCACTAGGCGTACCAGAAGATGAAGTGATCACACTTCGAAACTGATTATACAGTATTAAATCCAAATATTTATGAGATAAAAGGACCTTTTCCTTTACTTTTCTACCTTTAATTCAAACAACTCACACATGGTTATCCCAAATTTGAAATATCTAATAGTTGTTACTACGGGAGAATTTCCCACCTTTTTTTCTTAAACCGTCTCTGTAGAGTGCTGCCTTATCGTTGCACAAATTTAGTGCTCCCTTTATTCTCTTTCTATCTATTGTAAATATATATCCACTAATTTATAAATTGAATAGAAAGTTAAGAAGTGAGGGGGGGGGGTCAGTGTAACCTGCAAAATTTGTTTTATACTACCACTAACTAAAACCCTGTACGGGCCCGTTTCAGTCGGGATGCGGCCCGAAAGACAGGTCGGAACGAACCAATGATTTTTAAAGCCGGGCCTGGGCCGGGCTAAGCCAGTAGTCATGCATCCTCTATAGCAGTGGTTCTCAAACTTTTTTGGTGACAGTACCTTTTTGAAAAGTGAAATATTTGACGGAGCCCTAAACACATTTCGGAAAAAAAAGTCCTCCTTGTTCTAGCCTCATGCCAGGTCCCTCCCGTTTCTTTGCGGAACCCTTACGACAAAATTTGCAAAACCATATACGCCTTCCTCTTCTTGACTTCTAAAAAAAAGGTCCTTATACCAAACTCATATGTACTCCTTCCTCTACCTGACTTCTAATTAAAAGGTCCTCAAGCCAAGTACCGTTGTAGCGATAGCTACTGCTTTTTTTGTTATTTTCTTCGCGGAGCCCCCACAAAGGCTTTGCGGAGCCCCAAAGCTCCGCGGACCACACTTTGAATAACGCTGCTCTATAGGTATATGAAATAACCCAAACAAACCACATTTTGCGTGGTTTACATGTAAAATGCGAATAAACGCAAAATATATACATTTGTTTTTTTGGTGTGCTGTTCGAGCATGCAATATATGCTCGAAGGGTGTGCTCTATCGGCAAAAATATGAAGTTTGACAAAAAATGTATAGGGTCATAATCGATATAAAATCGTTTGTTCTTAAAAAAGTCCTTTAAAATTTTTTATGAAAACGCATCGATTTCTGCGCATAGTGAAGGGAATCCGACCTCTTAAATATAGTCGTCTTCGATGAGTTTTATTTGTCTCAGTACTAACAATTTTTTTAATAGCGGACTCCGAGCCGGGTTATAATGCTTGACTTTCGGTCTCAGGCCGGACTGGGCCTAAAAAAATCGGCCCGTGCAGGACTCTACCACTAAATACTAGCTAGATTTAAAAACACAAAGGGATGACCACCCTATGTAACAAAAACATATTTTGGCTAATACATTTGAGTTTAAAGTTTCTTATTTGGATAGTTGGCCATAGAACATGTTCTTTATATCCATCTTGATTTGAAAGAATATCATAACAGATCATAGAATGAATTTTAGATAATTAGGCCGTTTCGTTTATGTAAAAATATCGATTTTAAAAAAAAGGAAAATCAGTTTTTTTTAGTTTGGTTATGATTATTTCCTTTTGCAGTTTTCGACCTCAAGAAGTTAGTAATGAAGAAGATGATTTTTTCGAGGGCGATTTCGCCTTATTGGGAAAACCAAAACCTTCAAAACCTATCTTAGATGAACAGTGTGGTGTAGTCGTTGTAAGTATATACCTACAAGCCAATAAAAGTACCTACTTTGCAATGGCCCTTTTTATAACTGGGCTAACAGTAAATACTGGTTTCAAATATTAATTGTTTAATATTTTATATTTAAGAAAGCTGCCCAACCTCTGATAACCTATGGTCAACCGACAGAAGAAGGACAATTTCCATGGCATGTTGCTTTATATCACGCCAGAGGAATAGATTTAACCTATATCTGTGGAGGATCTTTAATTAGTTCAAATCACATCATCACAGTTGCTCATTGCGTGACTAGGAGAAAAACTCAAAGCGCCTTATCTCCAAGCACTCTCATGGTCTATCTGGGTAAGCATTGGTTCTTCTAGAAATAGTAGATTTTTTATGGAAGTGTTCTTGGACGCTTTATTTGTTGTTTATGTTAACGATGAAAACCGCGTTTCATGGAATGTTACCTTATTGATATATAAATTTAACTTCTTCATTTCATGATATTGCACACAGAACAAAGAAATACATGGTTCCTAACTAATAAAATTGTTTTAGGTAAATATTATCTGAAAGTATGGTCGAATCCCGGCATTCAAGATAGACAAATCGAGAAAATAATAGTCCATCAAAGATACAACTCGCATACGTTCAGTAACGATATCGCTATTTTGAAACTGAACCAACCAGCAGATATAACAGATTTTGTCAGACCGGTTTGTTTATGGAATGAACTCAATCATTTGGAATCGGTGATAGCAAAGCAAGGTATGAAGATAAAAGATAACTCAAATAGTGCAAAGTTGATATAGGTACATATATTTTGGGCAATACTGATGTTATTTCATTCCAGGTACTGTTGTTGGTTGGGGATTCGACCAAAACGGTAAAGTAACCGAGCAACTAACGCAGGCGCATATGCCTGTCGTTTCCCAAGAGACCTGTATCTATTCCTTCCCGGAATTCTACTCTAGGTTCACCTCGGATCACACCTACTGCGCAGGCTTTAACAACGGTAAGGACAATCAACAACAAACTAATGCCGTAGAGTCGGGAAATAATACCAGTTACGTTCAATATGTAATTCAATCATATCGAAATCGTTTTTCGGGAGGATATTGGAATAATGATTCAGGTATATTTTACAAAGCTGCCTAGATTCGTTCTGTATCTCTTTCTTCTTATTATTCTTCTGTTTTCTTTCTCCTTCTCTTTTATCGCCTAGCTACCTAGATTCGTACTGTATCTTTCATCTTTTATTCTTGTTTTCTTTCTCCTTCTCTTTTATCGCTCATAGGAAGCCGAAATGTTCATTGAAAAGTTAATATTACTAGTCAAAATTTTAGTAAAAATAATTTAAAAGGAAAGACAAATGAAGTAATTTTCCACATAATTTTATAGTTTTACAAACGACGACTAGTTTCAACCTGTACGTGTCTAAAGATTTAGGTTACAAAGTAAGGTTGCAAACAGGTCATGTAAAAACTTACCAAATTTTTTTTAAATTTAAGTGTAGGTCATAAATTCATTATCTCAAAAATATTAATATTCCAGAAATTGCCTGATGCGATGTGGTAATTGAAATTGGAACTGAACCAAACCAAAGGAACTATTCGCGATTCAAATTAATTTTCCCGTGCTGTGTAAGTAGGTAAAACACACTACAGTATTGTCATATCAATTAATTTATTTGTAATAGAATTTTGAACCAATGAGTAAAAGTTCAACTGAAAGACATTATAGGTCTTTTCCTTTGCATCGAAAGTGTAGCACTGAGCTACATCACTCCTGAAAATATCGTTCCATTTATACAAATTGTATGGATGGAACGATATTTTTAGAAGTGGCGTAGCTCAGTGCTACACTTTCAATGCAGAGGAAGAGACCTAATATTAGTTTCTAGTGTCAAGTTAATATTTCCGCACAGTGGTTACCGGTGTTAGCGTGGTTACCTTTGTCACTGAAATTCGGAATTATACTTTTGAGTTTATTCACTTTAATAAAATAGACATAAATATTTGTTACAATTTTAATAACATCGGTAATACTTAACCTACTTACATGTTTTAAAATGTAACCCAGAGGGCGTATCGCTTAGCTTGAATCGCCAATTAAAGTACAAAGGTAAAAATGAGGGTTGAGAAGTGGAGTGATAAAATTAGTAAGGAGAAGTAGTTAATAGATCCGATTCCTGGTATCTTAAAAAATTAACTATTTATATACAATAACAAATTAAAAGACTACAAGGAATCAGTTAGTTCTAGGAGATATGGGGGCGAGACGAAAGGGGAGAATAGGCAGGCAACAAAGAATAGGAGCGTAGTATTAAAATTATAAAAAAGCATAGGAGGAACAGTGCATAACAGTTACTTACAACTATTTTCCTTCAAGAACGGGATAATTAAAATTTAGTTGTACCATCTATCAGGTGGCATAGACTATGCTCCTGATAGACACTGATTCAATGTTATGCACTTTACCTCCTCTAATTTTCTATAATTTTAACACTACGCTCATATTCCCTGTTGACCCCTTATTCTCCCCTTTCGTCTCACCCCATAGCTCACAGAACTGATTCTTGGTAGTCTCTCGATTTGATATTTTATGTTGATAGTTCCTTTTTTAGGATACCAGGAATCGGTTCTATTATCTATTACCTGCTCGTCCCCCCTTCATTAACTCGAGTTCCCCACTTCACTGTCCCTTGCAAATTTTATCTCTCTTTACTTCTCAAGCTCCTCTTTTTTACCTTCTTACTTTAATATTTCCTTTGGTATGGTTCAATTCAAATTTTTTATAGACATTTTCAATTGCTACATCGCATCAGACAATTTTAGAAAATTAATATTTTTGAGAAAATGTATTTATGACCCACACACTTAAGTTTTAAAAAAGTTTTGGTAAGTTTTCACATAATCTGTTTGCAACCTTACTTTTCAACCTACCTTTTTTAGGCCTGATGATGGCCCATAGAGGCCGAAACTAGTCGGTGTTTGTAAAACAATAAAATACTGTGGTAAATGATTTCCGAGTTTTCTTCTCTTTTAATGAAAATGAATGATTTGCTCTACTTAAAAATAATTTGCTTTCGCACGATGTTAATGAATTAATAATTAGCCGTAACATATTATGCATGTTTTTATTTGGGTCTCTCATAATTTGTATATAGGGTTTTTTATTAAGAAAGCGACACAGAAACAACTGAAGATTATTTGATTAAAAATAAGTCGATTAAACTAAACATGCATGCTTAAATAAAATATTACTCGTTTACGAAATAAATAATTCAATAAAATTCAATAATCATTAATAGCTACAATTTTTTTATTTCTCAGAATAATTTCATTAAATTCGGTAAATATTTTTGGTGTCATAAGATACACCTATCAACAAAAAATCAGTAAAATAAACTTTGCCAATGGCGTACGGCATAGATAAGTAACACCTTCATCCCCTCTAAATTTCACGCCACTGTCCAATTTTTTTTTAAATAAATCATATACTCTGGTTGGGAACTCATAAAGTGATTCGTTTTCGAGATATTCAAAGGTGGACATTCTTCATTTAAATTTATTTTTTAATCTTGTAAATAAGTTTTTGGAGAGTGACATAAAATTTAAAAGAGATGAAAATGTACTTATTCATGCCGTACGCCACTGGCAAAGTCTATTTAAATGATTTTTGCTGATAGGTGTATCTTATCAAAATCGTTTGCTCAGTATAATTTTTAAAAAAATCCAAAATTACAAAATTAAGAGGAAGAATATCAACCTTTGATTGTGAATATCGGGAAAACCAAGCACTATTAGTTCCCAATGTGAGTACATGAATTATTTAAAAAATGTAAAAGTATAGTCCAAATAAGTTTTTGGACAGTGGCGTAAAAGTTCGAGGGGACGTGTTACTTATCAATGCCGTACGCTACTGACAAAGTTTATTTAACTGATTGTTTTGCTGATAGGTCTTATGACACTATTTATAAATAGATATCGGTAAATCCAACTCAGCTAAGTCGTCCTTGAACGAAAATCGAAACTCAATTATATAGCCTAAAAATGTTTACCGAATTTAGTAAAATGATAATGAAAAATAAAAAAGTTAAAGCCTTACTAATTTTTGAATTTTCAACTATAACACTCTTATTTCGAAATCCAGTAAAATTTTATTTAAGCATGTTTCGTTTAGTCGTCTTATTTTTAGGGTGAGATTACAGACCCAGATAGCACAGGACGTCCCATGGACGTCCTGATTTGGTCCCTTGTTGGTCCGGTTGGTCCCGGACCTAAATAGGACGTCCACTGGACTTCCGATTACAGTTAACACTTGGACGTCCTTAGAAGGACGTCCTCTGGACGTCCTATTTTGGTCCCGTTTCGACAAAGCGTTTAGTTTTCGGTCCGAGTCCGGGACATTAATGGGACGTCCAAGGGACGTCTATGGGACTTTCTATGCACTAGCATCGTTGGTCTTTGAATCGATAACTTGAAATTCAACGTTTTGATTTTGCAAGAGTATGAGGACAGAAAACCTAACCTATCATTTATTTTCAAATGAACAACAATAGCTACAATTTTCGGCATTCAATAATTAACTTAAATAGGTGAGTTAGATTAACGAAGAAAAAAGAAGGTCATAAAGTGTTATTTGTTATTTTTTTGATGCTGGTGGTAAAGTGGTTATAAAGTGAAGTGAGTGTTTTGTGTTGATGTGAGAATAAGTGATGTGTCGGTAGCCGCTGGCGGAAAGAAAATACCTTAATGGCGGAAAGTTGGAACAAAACTAATTTGGACAAAATTATAATACTCAGTTTTGTCGACACAAGCTATAAGTAGGACCCAAGGTTTCATCTTGCCAGCGCTGTGTGTTAAATTTAATTCATTCCTGTTTTTTTTTGTAAACTGAAAACGTTTAACTCTAGCTAGGTTTTTTAGGATAAAAGTTGTTAAATAAAGCTCTTTTATTGTTAACATTTTTGTTATTATTACTCTTTATGGATTATGGTCAAATATCGTCCCTCGGACGTCTGATTTACGTCCCTAGGACGTCCCGCAAAGGTCCCTTTGGGATGTCCCAGGGACGTCCCTAAGGGACGTCCCTAAGATGGACAGAAACGGGACATTAGGACGTCCATGGGACGTCCGATTGACGTCCCGGTACCAAAATAGGACGTCCCTCGGACGTCCTTTATGTCCCTATAGGACGTCTTTTAGACGTCCATAAGACGTCCGTGTGCTATGTGGGGAACGTCTGCAACTTTGCAAATATGGCGGACTTATAAATGTAAGTATTCCAAAAAATATCTGCAAATTTGCAATATTTATTGTGGTTTATTACCCCCAACAACACTAAACCCAAATTTGGAATACGAAAACTTGATACTTGCATGTGTAAGTCAGTCATATTTGCAGATTTTCAAAGTTGCCGCCATATTTGCAGATCTGCAAAGTTGCAGACGTTCTGTAATCTCACCCTTAATCAGAGAATCTTGAGTTGTTCTGTCCTATTCTTAATGAAACACCTTTTTATTATTCTCATAGAAATATAGTCGAAGACTTTCGTGATAGCGTACGTAACGTCAAAATAAAGTTGGTAACATATATTTGTTGTCAAACAAACGACGAAGTTTTGAGTTTTGACAACTATGATTGACATGGCTACGTGTTTAACAAAAAATATTTTACTATTATGGGGATTACCCTAACAGTCTTACTATACATCTGTAACGCATCCTCCTAAATTGATAGGCACCTCCTAGCTCATGAGCCAGCCTACACAGCCTCACTATGCAGTCTACTACTATATTTCAAATGGTATATCATGAATTGTAACTGATTATTTGATACAACGGTATTAAAAGTATTAAAGGGCTCATTGAATTGACCTAAAAACATGAAACGTCTATTCAATTTTAAAATGTTTTAACAGGCACTTCAGTTTGCAACGGTGATTCCGGTGGTGGCATGGTATTTCCAAGGAGAGGTTCGGACCCCCACAATCCAATTTGGCAGATCAGGGGCATGGTCTCGATCAGCGTTGCATTACAAAATCAGTTTAAGTGCGATTCATCGCATTATGTAGTATTCACAGATATCGCTAAATATTTGGACTGGATCAAAAATGCTTTACAATTGTGATAGGATTTTAGAATAAAATCTAGACTTTTTTAACTGCTTTGTATACACTAAATTTAATCGATCGCCAATAAATAATTTATTTTTAATTTGAGTTTTATTTTTTACGTAAAATATAGTGACTGACACAAAAACTGATATACTTATTTTATTTAGGTACTTTGTAATTTATCTGTGTATGAAAAATAAGCTACTGGTAAAAAATGATTGGAAACTGAAAGTATAGAAGACAAGGAATTCGGTTATAATATCTACAACAAATATAAGAAAATCTAATTTGGCAACATTCTTTGAAGGTACCTAAGTAGCCATAAAATTAACCATCTACGACCCGTTAAGATAAAAGGAGATTTACAGGAGTGTACCTACTCCGAATTAATAATAATATATATATTTATACAATGATATTATTAATGTTTATTTACTCAAAAATATAAGATTACAACAAATTTAAATATTGTTATAAAAAAAACAATGACATCATAGAAGCTGCATTTAATTGTACAGTTCATCAAATTTCTAGAGGCTTTCGACGGCTAGACAGAGAAAGCACTACTGACAGGCATCCCGACGGATTTACGCAATGAAAGTACACTCTGCGCATCAAGTATTTCACTATTTCATTCAGACGTAAATGTCAGATGTAAATTTCGCTAAAACATTTCTTTTATTTTCGTTTGTGTTTTTTGCTCATTACAGTTTAATAGAACCTAAGTATGGAGTTTAATAGCAAATTAAGAGGCCGCGTGATTAACAGTCAATCTCGCGAAATAATAGCCAATGTTATAGAGTTTATGAGAAGAGAAGGAAACTTTAATTCACCTTCAATACCATTTAAAAATGTAAATGATCGTGTTGCTGCAGCCACAGGAGTATCTAAAAACACTGTCGTCCGCATTTCTGGAGAGAAAAAAAGAATCAATAACCGTGAGATATCGGAATTTTCATCACCAAGAAAAACCATTAAAAAACCAAAAACAGTTAATAATATAGATGAAGCTGCACAAGAATCAAATTTTATTTTTTTATTATTAGATAGCTATTTTTGTTTCCGAGTTGTGTTCATTTACAGGCTCAATTTTTTTCCGTTTCTCCTTTTTGATTTTATATGGGGTTTCAAGTTGTTTTTGACTTATTTCGACGTAAATCACAACAACACACTTTTTTAATAAAGCAAACAAGTGTTAAGAGGTATATGTACGTGTAAACTACAATTACAAAAAATTGATATGAAACCCATGAAACCACCAACACAAATGTAAAGCTAGCTTCCGTACTAGAACATGGTGTCATTCGTCGAGATAATTTATCGTTTTGTTTAATAGATCAAGAAATGTAAATATTCCCCTGTTATTTTTTATAAAATTATAAGAGAAATAAATTTTTTTCTAAATAGTATAGTTTATTATTTTGTAGAAAAACAAAATTTCGAACATTTTAGTAATGTTTCAGAAACAACCGTTATTAATAATAGGTACCATTTTCCTTAATAAGGTAGAAATAAAATATAAACTATTTCCACGATTTACAAAGGCCTACAAAAAAATTATAGGTATTTTCCGCTATCCTATAAAATTTATATTTTCTGACTCAATTTCAAAAGGTTGAAGGAATTCCAAAACACCTTTTATGGCATAATAATTATTTTCAATTCTACATACTATCTTTAGCTGCTTTTAAAAACGTTCTAAGAAAGTCCAATCAGACCAATTTAATCCCTAAACTATTCCACACTTTTAAAATTTAATTACCTAAAAATATTAAAAACTATTTAAAATAACTTGTTTAGCAGACTGTACAATAGCTATCTTAGTCACACGTAGCGCGTTCTCTGTCTGGGCGTCGAACACCTCTAGAAATTTGATGAACTGTAGCTTGTATATGATTACAGTTACCTAAAACAACACAACTACTAATACTAAACAAAGTTTCTTCTTACATAACTTTGAAATAAAGCACATATTTTTTATTTTATTACTAAACAAATTTTTAACATATTTATCAACAAAAAAATTGTTTTTTATTCGAATGTGTCATAAAACATCATTTTTGGGACAGATAACATAATCGAAAAGGAGAATTTTTAAATATACTGAAAATGAACTGCTATAAAATACTTTTACGGCCGAGGCCGCAAAAGTAAAGCAGCTTTGCTATTTAAACATTTTTATTTTATTTTCAGTTTACCTTTTAATACTGTTGGCAATAATTTTTTTGCTATTGTAAAAGAGTAGTCTATAATCCACATGTACATCAAATTTGAAAAATAAACTATAAATCGATTTGACATAAGCACACTGACATGACAGCAATTGTTCAATTGTTATTAAGAATATACCTACCTAGTTATTCTTATCGATCACAGCCATCTCAGTTATAACAAAAATTGGAAATATCATTTCAGATTTAATTTTCTATATTTTTTTAACGTCTATAGGCACATTCGAATAAAAAATAATTCATAAAAGTTTATTTTCGGACTCCTAGGAGTTGCCAGGTGAAACGTTGTTGAAAAATTCAACTTTTCGTCCTTATAACATAAACTACTATTATGGTATAAATTGTATAGATAATAATAAATTAGGTAGTCGTATTCAACAGGGTAATTTGAAAAAATCTTTTATATGAATTAAACTGACATCTCGTGGTATTTTCAGGCTTACTTCGTAAAATTTAGATGCAAAATTTCAAAACAAAGTGTTTTAAACATATTCTCGTCTTTTGTGGTATTACCCTTCAAAATTTAATCACAAATCAGTTGAATACATAAATAATATACTTAAATTTATTACATACACCAAATACTTTTATTTTATTTACATAAAATTCTACTACATTCTGAAAATTATCCTTATTTAAATAAATTTATTAAGTATTGTACCTATGTTGAATATTAAATGTATTTTTATTACACCTCTTTTTAGTCTAAATCACTACAAATTAGTAAATTAATATAGGTCCTTTTTAGATAATCTTCAAAACAAGGATCAACAGTTCTAAAACTACAAAATTTACAATAAAAACATTTAAACAGAAGATGTTAGATTAACAAAGTTTGTTTGCCACAGATACATTTCTCTGTATGACATTTAATATTACTAAGGTTGTGCTTGCCGGTATATTTAAAGACAATTTGTGAATTAGGCTATTAATGTAAGATTATTTTTGTGTGAAATAAAACACTACATTAACTACAACTTTTTATTTTCAGGATCAGGTTCATTTCTACATATCACAGATATTCTCCTATCTTTAAACACTTTTTGGTCCTTGAAAACACTGTTATCATTGCTCAAAATTTCGTGAGTGTAGTCAAAACGGGCAGAATCTTTCATGATATACAAAGACCTTCTTTTAAGTAATATATCTGCATTCAAGCATTTGTTTTTATCATGTACAAGCCTCATAATACTGTCGCTTAGTAGACTTAAGCCGGCAATGGTGTTCCCACAAAACTAAAAATGTAAACCCATTTAATTTGGATTAGGTATATTTAAAATAATGAAAATATATACCTATTAATATTTACCTCCTTTATTAAGGGATGTGAATCGAAGTAATAATAACTTACCCTAATAGCATCTATGTGAGGTTTAATGTAACCATTCTTATCTAAATCTAAAATATGTACAAATTTCAATTGTGCTACATTAGGTGGGAAAGCAATAGATCTCACTCTATCAAGTATTTTTGTATTCGATTCATTCCACTTCAACCTCTCAGTTTCTCTGTAACCATGTATTGCCTTTAACATTAAAATATTTGTTTATGACAATTTGAAACACTGACTGTACAAACTTACATCATCCCAATGATCAAATTCATAACGTAATTTTTTCATATAGGGATCGACTTCGTCCAAAATAGATTGTTCTTCAGCTTCGCTTAAAAAATCATTGTGAACAGTCATGCAATTTAATAAACTACTAGCTAACTCCGCGTTACCGTCAATAAATTCTTTGCAAAGAGTAAAATACGGTGGTAAGCAATCAGAAACTGAAATCCCAAACAGTAATTGGAAATTAAATTATACTTATTAAGTTTTTTATAATTCACTTTACCTGGCTGTTTTGTTTGAAGATTAGAAACATATCTTACATTCAGCTTAAATCGTGTATATTTAAAGCCTTTTAAAACGTTAAATAACATTTTTCGAATACACATTCAATCATTCAAATAACATTTTGGATGTCAAAAGTTTTGACATATTAAAAATCAATCAGCCGAATTCGTCTTCCTGTTTTCCAATAATTCTATTTCTTCTTTTTTTGACGACTCCTTTTTATTAGAACTACAGGTTTTCATATTAAGAAGTAATTTTTATTTTGTTCACACAATGCCTATATAAGATGTATTCCTAAAACATTTGTTATTCATTCATGATCACTCTGGAACGATTGCACAAATTTAAAAATGCTTTATTAACTCCTTTAATTGCATTCAACGAAATATAGCCGGCCATACACGAAAAGTAATGATGTTTGGACTAAATAAGTTGACTGAATTTTGTTATTTAAAGAGACAATATGAATACACCATTATTATAATATATAATATAGTCGTTATGACACATACATGTGGGTTATTATCATTATCTTCTTAACTATCTCTATGCATTACCGAAACATAATTCTTACGGACAAAAATATGTCTCGTCACATTATGTTGTATATTATTATTATTATTATTATCACCGTTTCACAAATATATTGTCAAGAATATAATTCCTATATCACGGGACGATGCATTCGACTAATCCAGTTAACCGAATTTTGTAACATAGATCACCATGATTGTGAAACAAATTCCATGACAGTCTTAATATCTTTGAAATTCTCGTTTCATTTTCGTCGTTGGGAAAGAAACTCGTGACATTTCAAAAAATTGTCGATTATATCGTACCTACCACTTTTTATTTATTACAGGATGATCATAAAGATTAAGCATTTAACCTTGATAATATTATGATTAGGTACTAAACCCCCTTTATTCCATAGTTATTATACCTACCTAGTCTTTGATGGTATTTGACCGTAAAAGTTACTATAATAATAGTAAACTGATATTCTTCATAGTGCATATCTTCTAGAGATTGACACAAATAAGTTATGAATTTAGTTGCGCCAATATACCTAATTTTTCAATTGTTTAGTAATATTGGTTAGAATAAAGAACATACAATACAATTTTATTCAATAATAAGCTATTTTTGGAAACATCCTTTGATTCAATATAATTCCCAACGTCTGTGGACCGCATTAAATAATTTGTACCCAACTCACACTCACGCAGGTCTGCAAACATTCACGAACCAACGCGTGACTGCGATTCCCCCTCCAAACGTTTTGTCAATGCTTGGCGAACGAAGCGAGCTCTGTTTCGACTGTTTCGAGGGGTCATTTTCGTTCAATCTATAATTTATAATATATTCGTTGTTACTCGTTCGATTTTTTCCGAGTTTATTCATTTTGTATGCTCATTTTTTATCAAATGGATTGGTCAAACGAACTGGTTCTAAGTTTTCTCGAACATTACAAATGCTACGACGTTATTTGGGATCCAAACCATCCCGAGCACAAAAACAAATCTAGTGTGATAGACGCTTGGGAGCTGTTGCGGAAGGAAATGGGTACGGATATGACAGTGGCGGATTTGAAAAGAAAAAAGGACGCGCTGATGGCAACTTATCGGACATTAATTAAAAAAATTCAAATTGCAAAGGACAACGGTGATGGTCAGTATAAACCGTCTTGGTTTTGTTATAGTACTATGAATACCTTTTTGCACAATATTTACAAACCCAAGTTTGCAACAGATTATAATGGGGTAAGTTTTTAACCCATTATTTATTCGATTTTTATTTTTTCACTGAATTCTACAACTGAGTTTCTTTGCCGTGACTGAATACAGGAGTGCGTTTAGAAACCTCGCACGGCACGTCTGACCACATACATTAGAATAGGGTCCAGACGCGCCGTGTGAGGTTTCTAAACGCATTCCTGAATCAACACTTGAATATGAATGCATACGCATTGACAGATTGAGAGAACAGGGCCGGCGCGAGTAATAGAGGCGAAGTGAAGCGAATGTTTCGAGACCTAAGCACGGCATACTTATGCCGTTACCTAAGATTCCTATCGAGCATTTATTTTAATTTCTTAACTAGTAGAAAGTGATACTTTCTTGCACTTGACTGCTGTCAACTGAGGAAAAAGACTATCCGCAAATTGCCGCGTTTGAATATCCACATCGGATGAATCTGAGAATTTTTTATCACGTGATAGAGAATTATATTTGAATGTAATAAACAAATGCTCTAGACTTTATTGGTCACATGATAAAATAACAATGACAATTTAGAAGTTTATATTTTTTAAATTTGACTTTTGATACTACAAATCAACCTAAATTTGAAATCTAAACAAAAATTAAACAAACTAATCACTTTTATATTCATGCTAGCATAAACAAAGGATAAATTGACAAACTTGGCTTCACAGAACACTTACTTTCTGGCGTGGAAGGAACATCTCATTCACATCTCATTTCAAATCGAGATGTAAAAAATGTAATCTGGACGCAGGTACATCCAATGAACTGGAGTGGGGTAGAAAGCTTGTCAATAGGCTTGAGATGCGACTCTATGGGCGAAGACAGGTTATTTTTCATCTCACTCGGGAGTATTTATAACGACCATTTTCTATTTCACTTTGTTATTGTCTGATCCACCAGCCTGTGGATTGAACAATAACAATGTGAAACAGAAAATGGTTATTATAAATACTCCCGAGTGAGATGAGAAATAAAAATGGCTGCGCCCATAGAGTCGCATCTTGTTCAATTGATAAAATATGCACATTAGCTTTCTACCCCACTCCAGTTCATTGGGTACGTCTCGGATAAACAAATGTAGTAGATGCGAGAGTAGATGTATCCGATGTGGATAAACAAACGCTCGAGATGTAAAAAATGCATCGGATATGGGTTCAAACGCGGCAAATGTAAGGCAAGATATGTTTTTTCTTTAAGCGTGAGAAAGAAAAAAGAAAGCACATTAATTTTTTTTAAATGGTTATTTTTGTACCAAAGCCGTAAAGTTGCCGCATAAGTAAAGTTGTCGTTAATGTTTGCATGGCCAGGGCGTAGCCGAGGGCAAGCAAATTTCTTATTGGACCAACAAAGATCATACGGCCGAGGTACACACAACATGTTTTTAGGTGACTGTCTATTCAAGTAGATCCATCATTTTTATTTTACATTTTTGTTTCTGAAAGGAGACTTAAATTCAAGAAGTGTTTTAAATTTTTATTGATAGAAAATATCTATTGTTAAGTAATAAAATTTGTACAAAATTACCAATGTAAGTATGATAAAGCGGCCGTTAAGTAAATGTGGCCAAAAAAGTTATACTTTAGAGATGTTAATAAGTCCGTAAATAGTTATTTGTGTACCAAGGTCGTAAAGTTGATCTTTTTGGGCCGAATCAGAAATTTGCGGCCGATACGTAGCCGAGCCGAGGCCAAGCAACTTCTGGTTAGACCAAAAAAGATCATACGCCGAGGTGCACACATTTTTTAGAGGACTATCTCATCAAGTTGACCCAATATTTTTTTACATTCTTGTTTTTAAAAAGAGACTTAAGTGCAAGAATTGTATCAAATTTTTATTGATCGAATAAAAATCTATTGCATGTTAACTAATAAAATTTATACAAAATTACTAACGATAAGTATGATAAACCTGCGTTTATAAAAAGCGGCCGTAAAGTAAATGCAACCGAAAAAGTGACACTTTAAAGATGTTAATAAATCCGAAAAATGTAATTTTTTAACAATCGCCTAAAAAAATATTGTTTATCAGTATTATTTTTATCTATGAAGCAATCAAAGAAGAGCACGTTTTAGCTGATTTTACCATGGCAGAAAAAATTCTGTTACATAGTCCTAATCCAAATAATTTGAGTATAAAACACAATGTTCTTGTAACCAACGCAACGACAGTAGATTTTACAGATTCGATGCATTGAGAGCTCGACATTATTAACAAAGTGGCATTTGATGTTTTTTATTAAAATCTTTGTTGCACTTACCGATGTTCATTGCTATTCCTAATTTATGCCATCGGCCTATTTATTGATAATAATGAATTAATGAATAAATGCCTGTCATGAGAATATGTCGATTTAATATCAGAATAACTTTATAAAGAATCAAATAAAATCAATGTAGGTAATAAAATATTTGAACAAACTTCATTTTTCTTTCTACTTTCAGGAAGAACCAAAAGATATATTTGAAAATTCAAATTTCGAATATGAAGACTTTGATTTACCAGAACAGGATATATTCACGGAAGAAAAACCAGTTATTAATACCAAAAAACGTAAAATTGAATACGATGACGTCCAACAGGAAATGTCAAATATTTCGGTAAATATATTTATTCATTGGATTTATTTTTACATAGGTACAAAATGTGTATTTTCCATTAGACGCGTAACTCTAAAATGCGATAGAAAAAGACTCGGAAAAAGTATATTGTTACTCGACATTTTTAAGATTTTAATGAATGAAAATATCAACTGTTTACCCTCAATTTTTTTATAAATCATTATTCTTTAGTTAGAGTATACAGGGTGTTTCAGAATAAAGTACCGTAAACTGGGGGACTTTACTAATTATTAAGAAAAGCTAAATATAATTTTCCTGTAAACGTGGAAGGTTTCATACTACGGGGTGATAAAGTGAATTTCATGATTACATAATTTTCTAAATATCTTCCTTTACGGCAGTCTTTATGTTAAAAATATGTACTTGTTTGTTGATCACCATTATTAATTAAATACACTTTATTTCAATAATTAACAATAATCCATTGGCGTAGAATCAAGGATAAAGAAAACAATTTTAAGCCAAACTTTTTGAACATTCAAATATGAAAATTACGTACATTGTGACGAAGTCACTAAATTTTATTTAAAATTAATTGTAAAAATGTATATTTTAATTAATTTCCGCCTGGGAACGTTTCAAAGAGCCCCGTATTTATGTTTCCTGGAAATTCCCGATTTTGAATATTTGCGAGAACCCTCGTAGTTTAAAATATTTTTGTATGTACCGAAATTCAAACTCTGATTTGAACAGTCAATTCCTTGTAAATTATGTAGGTCTACTCGGCAAGGTGTCGAAAGGAAGGTATAGTGATCGGTACAGATAAGTTTTACTATTCCACAATTAAATATCAGTATTAATAATATATTTATATATAATAATAATAATAATACTCTCCCTAATTCACCCCCTTACGAGTGAATTTTAACCCCAAAAGCTGAGCTTGTGCGGGGAAAGGAACGGCTATTATTATTTGCCGTGGCGCTCCGGGGCGACTTAAAGATGATTGATGGTGCCATTTGACTTACAGGTGAGGATAACCCGGAAAACCTCACCCACCATCATCGAGACGGTAATGCATGGCGATTTTATAATCTGCATGTCATATCAACAAAAATTGAATTTCTATTAATACGGCACACATCAAATCCTATACCGAACCATGCAATTTAATTAAAAATCCACATGGTCTGGTCTGGGATTCGAAGCCCAGCAGTCTCTGACTCATAAACTTGCCTATAAATGAATATAAGCGCGTTAGACCGCTACACCACCGACTCGATATAATTCACAAAGCCCCGCCTACGTTCAGAAAATACAGTTGCCAAACTGCAAAAATGTGATGCGTTCAATACCATTACAGCTAAACAACTGTGTACGTTTAGCGCTTAGTCCCTTCGAGCAAATATATTCAGCATAAATATTTTATGCCTGGCATCACTGTATCACGAGCACCTTTCGGCTGGATTAATAATGAACAGCGTCTCCTATTGGCTGAACCGAGCCTTTCTTCAAATTCTATTTGTAGCAGCCTACGATAACCCGTAAAAAAAGCCGATCAACGTGGACTGGGATATCCAATCGTAAGTCTGAGTTTTTGATCAACTAATGTTTTAATTGGTTATTCGGCACTCTTCTATGTGTCATCGCCGTGTTGAGTGAGCACATATCGACAATGTTTGTTTACCCAGTGTTGTATTCACATGACTGTTTGGATTTTTGGATTATATATAAAAAATGGCTTTTTGGAGGCCTTTTGAAAGTGATAAAAATAATGTAATCCCTGAAGGTATGTAAATAATTATAATTCTGATTGATTTTTTTAAATATATAGTTGCACCTCAAAACCAACTAAAAAATTGATATTTAAATACCTACATAAATTGTAAAATTTAAACAGTTCAAAGTCGGCTTTGGCAGTTTACGTTATTTTTTACCTATACAGAATGTTTTACAAATAAAAGATTATATTTTACCTGCAAAATGTTAATTTTTGGCTTAATAACTGGGGGTCAAATATTAATACATACTGAGAAAATGTAAAAAAATTAAAAACTGTATGAGAATTGAGAATATTGAAAAAATTGACAAGCTGAATAATTAATTACTAGTAAATAGATGAGACTTTATTAAAATTACCATTTCAACGTTTATGGTACAATTAAATGAAACAAATAATTGGCATTTATATATGTGAAAAATTTTAGTAATATTTTTTAAATTTTTGTTGATTCCGTAAATATAAGGTAAATGCATAAAATATGAAAAGCAAACAAATTAAAATTACGAAATAAAAAATGTCACAATAAGAGTTATCAACAAACACTTCGTTGTAAGCTAAATGTTTTGTTTATGAACCAAAAGTGTACTTACAGCAGGTCCCACGTTGGCAAGTGCATAGATTGTCGGTGAAACCAATCTCGTTGAAATCCAAATCAAAGATAACAAATAAATCTTTGTTTGTAATAATACTAAGAACTAGATGGATCAGCTATCCGCTGATACATCGACACACAACGTTTCTCTATCGCCACAAATTATCAATTTATTCCTGCACACGCACTCTTTCCTTAATATTAAAATAAATCCCCACAATATATTTTAGTAGCTAGAGGCCTACACATAATGTCTTACACGTGCCCGACGGGTTTTTTTTTTTTTTTTTTTTTTTGTCGGGCAACCAACTGGACCCTATTACTAAGCCTCCACTCGTCCGTCTGTCTGTCTGTCAGCGGTCCGTATCTCATGATGCGTAATAGGTAGACAGTTGAAATTCTGTTCTCACAGCAAATAATAAAAATAAATTAAAAATTAAAGGGGACTTCTCTACTAAAAACGTGTTTTTTGCTATTTTGCTTGTTCTTAATAAAGTATTTAAAAAGTACCTACATGGTATTAAATCTTGTACGATGGTGTGGAACCCTTCATGCGCTAGTCCGACTCGCACTTGGCCGGCTTTATTTCAATTTTTTTTTGCGTAAAAAGACAGGTACAATATATATGTAAGAAAACACGATATTTTCATCAAATTAATCTATTTCCAAAATTAAACACAATACAAGTAAATTCGACATTCCGTTGAGACAGCCGAACTATATGTGTCCCCTTATTCTTCAGGCCAGATTGCCCTAGGAACTCAATACATAATACTAAAATAACAAATATGAGTCTTAGGGTAATAAATAACACATTTTAATGCTTTCGTCGTCACTTCGTTGAGAGACAGGTACTTCGTCCGGTCCATATGTTTCGACTAAATACCATCGATCCAACGCTTTCGAATTTTAAATTCTTACATATATGATAATAAATAATTTGATATATCTTAAAACTTAACCATACATTTATTATAAATTTGAACTACTTTTAACTTATGATATTGGGTTAAAAATTTAACGCTTACGTTAAAATTTTCATTTTTACAGAATTACAATTTATGTCAAAATTGTCAAATTCAACACTCGTTAAAAATAAACGTCACTCGTTAAAAATAAACGTCACTCGTTAAAAATAAACGACACTCGTTAAAAATAAACGAATTTAACTATAAGAATTACCAGTTCGTTACCATGGGCGAAGTTATGTCATCAGATCTGGGGGGGCTAAAGCCCTAGCCCTAGTCATATAATATATAATAGTTCTAGAGGTATACCTACTGAAGTTAAGTAAAAAAATTCTGGCGAATCTATGAAAATGGATAAAATATCATATATCGATTCTAAACAAAGTTTTGCAAAATTTCAATATTGTGAATTTGTAGATATCCATTTATGGTAAAAAACTAAATTTTACGACTTGCACTTGGAAAATAATGAATACTTCAGTTTTGATTTTGACATTAACACCATATAGATTGCAATTTGCTGGGGACTTTTTCGCAGATTTCATTTTTAACATAAACACTACCACATACTATAAGAAATAAACAAATTTAAAGCTAAAAAGTAAGAAAAACTCGAATTGTAATTGATACAAATTAAAATGTAAACAATGAACTCGTTGCGAAATGATGAACTGATTTTAAAACAAAATTAATAAATGAACTGAAATTAAAAAAAAAATTAATATAATAAATCGGTTTTATAAAAAAGTCCTTAAATAAATATAGAGTATGATTACATATTACTATACACAAATTTTGATTCTTAAATAAAAGGTCTTATCCACTTCTTCAAGAGCTAAAATCCGACGACGTAGCGAAATTTTGCTACTTCTGGCAACAATGAACGATATCCTACTTATAGGGACCTTCTACAAATTTCCTCCAGAGGGCGTATCACTTAGCTTGAATCGAGAATAAAGATCCTTCCAATTATATCTTCTCAAGGAAGTGTAGGATTTGGAGTGGCTTCAAGTTAGGTAAATCTCTTCTATTTGATATGCTCATAGGTATAGTGCCCTTGGATTCTGAAGTGCTACACATTTAGTTAGAATGTGAATGAAGATTTTTTCCTCCTCCTCACAAAATCTGCACTATCTTCTACTACTCTCAGTTTACTAAGGAGTAATTTTAGTTGGCAATGTCCAGTTACAAGTGTTCTCACTACTAGAAAAATGTATATTATGATAACAGCTTAAAATACAATCTGGCTAATGTGGAACACCCCGAAAGCCTTGCCAGACTCGTCTAAGGCAATATCTTATTGAAATTTGCAATATCTCATTGTAATCCTTGTTTTAGACTAATTAACTCGTATTATAAATTTTAGCTACATTTACTTATTACCTGTTTATTTATGTGATCAAAAGAAGCCATTAATAAATTTATTGACATGTTCACTTGAAACAAAGCAGAGAAGTTTGTGTGTACATGCACTGTGTAGGAATGGCACCCGGCACAGTCGCCATTGTGCCGGACACAACCAATTGTGATACGAAAACTTTTAAAAGTAGTTTCGCTGTCGGCTGCAGTTTCGGCCAGTTTTCCGCCGAAAGCGAAACTGTAGTCGAAACTATTATTTAAAGCCAAAGTTGGCCGAAACCGTAACCGAACCTTCGGTCGGACACTACTTGTGAGTCTGGCAGGCCTCCGTAATTGT